ACTTACATAGCCCAGGCAGAGTGGATTTAGCGTAATTCTCAAGGGCTCTAGGATTTTCAGGATGGTAAATGAGCACTGGCTTCAACTTAAAGACACAAGCTGCATTAGCCGCTGACAAGAGAGTCAGCCTGTCCTTTGAAGCCAAACATTGACTTCTCCTCTCTAACTATGAAAGTCCTAGATGGCATTTTCTTCCAAAAGAAGGCTGCTTTATCTACATGGAAAATATGTTGTTTAGTGTAGCCACTTTCCCAAGTTATCTCAGCTATATCTTCTGGCTAACTTGCTGCAGCTTCTACATCAACACTTGTTCCTTCACCTTGTACTTTTATATTATGCAGATGACTTCTTTCCTTAAACCTCATGAACCAACCTCTGCTTAGCTTCAAACTTCTTTTCTGTGGCTTCCTTCTCTCTCTCAGTCTTCACAGAATTGAACAGAGTTAGTCTTGCTCTAGATGAGGCTTTGACTTCAGGGAATGTTGGGGCTGGTTTGATCTTCTATCCAGACCACTAAAACTTCCTCCATGTCAGCAATAAGGCTGTTTCTTATCATTCGTGTGTTCTCTGGAGCAGCACTTTTAATTTCCTTCAAGAACACTTCCTTTGCATTTCCTTGGCTAACTGTTTGGAACAAGAGGCCTAGCTTTCAGCCCATCTTGGCTTTCTCACTAAAGTCAACCATTTCTAACTTTTGGCTTAAAGTGAAAGACATGTGACTCTTCCCTTTACTTGAACACTTAGAGGCCATTGTATGGTTAATGACTGGCCTAACTTCAATACTGTTGTGTTCGAGAGAATGGAGCGGCCCAAGCAGAGGAAGAGAGATGAGGGAATGGCCAGCTGATGGAGCAGGCAGAGCACAGACAACATCCATCAGTGAAGTCCAGTGTCTTACACGGGTGTGGTTTATAGCACCCCCAAACAATTACAATAGTAACATTAAAGGCCACTGATCACAGATCACCATAACAAACAGAATAATAAGGAAAGGTTTGAGATACTGCAAGAATTACCAAAATGGGATACAGAGACACAAACAGAGCAAATGCTGTTGGAAAAATGGTGTTGATAGACTTGCTCAACAAACGATTGCTACAAACCTTCAATTCATTAAAAAAAAATGCAGTATATGTGAAGCACAATAAAGCAAAGTACAGTAAAGTAAGACATACTTGTATACATTTTTATGTATTTATGTAAAATTGCTATAATTACTATTTGAATGGGATCTTTTTCTTCTCATTTTATTTTCAAATGGATTGTTGACAGTGAATATTCATTTAGTCATTCAGCAAACACTTATTGTCTACTGTGTGCCAGGCACTATGCTAGACACCAAGACTATGCTAATGTACAAAACAGACATGGTATGTATATAGTATTTATTAATTCTAAAGTATTGATTGTTCTTGCATTTCTGGGCCAAGCGCTGCTTGGTAATGGAATACTGTTATTTTAATATATTGTACTAATGGATTAGATTTGGTGGTATTCCATTTAGGGTATGTGTTATAAATTCTATATAAATAGCTTAAGCAAGATTAGTCTGACCTGGCCGTGTGTGTGTGTGTGTGTGTGTGTGTGTGTGTGTCTGGCGTCGTGTGTGTGTGTGTGTGTGTGTGTGTGTGTGTGTTTATGTTAGCTTTGTAAAATAAATGGAAAACCTTGCCATTATTTCTATAGTTTATACAGCACTGGAATGATATGGTTCATTCTTATTCCTTGACAATCACATTAAATTATAAAGTTCAAACTAGAAGACTAGAACTGAGGTTTCTTGAATCTTAGACCTTTGAAAGATGAATTTATGGAAATGGGACAGAATGGACACTTATACCACAATAAGCCTGATGACAAGAAATGTATTTCTTGTTTCAGTCCTGTCCCCTCATGGGAGAACAGTGGCCTTGTATGTCCACTTCTTGAAAGGACTGGCTTTTTTTTCCGGAGAGGACACCAAGGATGTCCTCAGCCTAGAGCTGTTCATATTTGTGGCCAGCACAAGACTGGACTATGCTTTGGGGCAGGGGTGACCGACTGGCTTTGTGTGAGGTGAGTAGAAAACTGCAGTGATGAGCAGCCTGGGGCAAAGAGCAGCACCAGCGCTATTCCTTTCTCACAGAACCTCCCGAAGTCAGACACAAATAAGAGTCTCCCACTGCTCATCTTTATCCTCTGAGTCTTTCTGAATTTGTACAACTGTAGCTGCATTTATCAGGCCAGTTGCATGCCTGCCACAGAGCCCAACATCAGAGCCAGCCTGTGAGCCCCTAACCTTGGTTCTGTGCTGTAGTCTAGTCCCTCTCATAATGTTTTTATTTATATCCCTGAATACATCTTCCAACTTTTAAATTTAAGCATCTTTCCCATACCTTCCCTGATGAAGAAACTTTTAAGCATGTGGGACTCCTAAATTCCTTTCCAATAGATCTTGTATTAGTTTTCTACTGCCACAAACTTAGAGGCTTAAAACAATATCCAGTTATTGTCTCACTGTTCTGTAATTAGAAGTCTGGTGGGCTAGGCTAAGCACTGGGCTTCAGATCTCAAAACGCTGAAGTCAGGGTGTCAGCAGGGCTCTGTTCCTTACTGGAGGCTCTGGGGAAAAATCCACTAACAAGCTCACTCCGGTTGTTTGTGAAATTCAGTTCCTTGTGGCTGTAGGGCTGAGGTCTTGTTTCCTTTCTGGCTGTCAGCCTAGAGCCCCTCTCAGCCCCTTAAGTTTTCTTGTATTTCTTGTCACATTGCTTCTAACATCTTCAAAGCCAGCAGTGGTACATTGAGTCCTCACGCTTCAATTCTGTCTGATTTCTCTTTTTGCCTCATGTCTCCTTCTCCTACGGGAGAAAGTTCTCTGCTTTGAAAGGCTCATGTGATTAGACTAGGCTCACCCAGATCAAATAGAATAATCTCTTTTTTTGAAAGTCTGTAACCTTTGTTGCAATTGCAGTGACCCTTGTGCCGTGTCACATAATATGCTCATAGGTTTTAGGGACTAGGGCATAGGCATCTTTGTGAGGCCATTAGGCTTATCAAAGCTTTCATCTCTTTATTTTCTATACAGAATATTTAAAAATCATCATTTCCTTTGATGAGGAAGTGGAAGAAAGTTCTACTCTTTTGGAAAAAATAAACTGCCAGCCACCATCATGCCCAAATCTCACACAGACATCATGCTTTCAGCTTATGACCATAAAATTGTTTGATTCTGGCATCGAACTCAGTAAAATTCATTTGAGATAGCCAAATACTGACACACCATTAGGTGGCACTTGGTTAGAAAGCTTGCTTCAGTCCAAATTTTCTCAAGTTAGCAATCTGCAAGATGGAATGGAAAGTCTGATGTAAATGGGGCAGAGTTGGGGATGGCATCCTTAGCGATTACTGGAAAATCCTTAAAGGCAAAAAGTATCCAAGACTTGAAAGTGATTTGTACATTCAAGCCAACTTTAGAGAATTTAGTGATTGCTTAGCAAATGTAAATGGAGTTATTTAAAATCTTTTACACATGATAATTTAAAAAAATCCTGGGGTCAAAAAACTACCTCTAATATATTTTTATTGGCTGCAACATTTGTCCTATGATAATGATGAGCAAATATTCAATTCAGCTTGAGGGGTGTTGCTTAGCATATCATTCAGGTCAGGTTGGCCAGCAATGAACACTTGCAACTTTTGTTTATCTGGGAATACCTCAACTTTGCCTTCAGTTTTAAAAGATATTTTTGCTGGCTTCTTTGTTAATAGCTTTTTTCCTGTCAGCACTTTGAGTATGTCATCCCACAGCTTTTTATTTTTAAGAGACTCTTTGAGTAAAATTGAATGGAAAGTACAGGGAATTACCATATACTCTCTGCCTCCCCTCCATGTACAGCCTCCCCTACGATCCTCCACCCGAGTGGTACATTTGCTACAATGGATGAACCTGAACTGACACATTATTATCACCCAACGTCCCTAGTTAACATTAGAATTCATTCTTGATGTTGTATATACTTTGGGTTTGGACAAATGTGCAATGATGCATATTTATTATTATAGTAACATACAGAATAGTTTCACTGCCCCAAATCCTCAATGCTCTGTCTATTCATCCCTCTCCCAGACTCCCTGCAACCTCTGGCAACCAATTTTGCCATAATTTTGCCTTTTTCAGAATGTTATATAGTTGGAATCATACACTGAAAGATAGCCTTTCAGGTTGGTTTCTTTCAATTAGCAATACACATTTAAGTCTCCTTCACAGCTTGATAGCTCATTTATTTTTAGAGTTGAATAATATTCCATTGCCTGGATATACAACAGTTTATTAATCCTTTAACCTATGGAAGGACATCTTGTTGCTTCCAGGTTTTGGCAATTATGAATAAAGCTGCTATAAACATCTATGTGTAGATTTTTGTGTGAATACAAGTTTTCAACTTCTTTGGGTAAATAAAAGAAGTGTGATTGGTAGATTATATGATAAATATGTTTAGTTTTGTAAGAAACTGCCAAACTGTCCTCCAAAGTGTCTGTACCATTTTGCATTCCCATCAGCAATAAATGTGAATTCCTGTTGCTCCACGTCCTCACCAGCATTTTGTGTTGTCAGTGTTCTGGATTTTGGCCATTGTATTAGGTGTGAAGTTATTGTTTTAATTTGCAATTACCTGACATATAATTTTGAGCATATAGTTATTTGTCTCTATAAAACTTTTTGGTGAGGTAGCTATTTAGGTTTCTGGCCACTTTAAAAAAAATCAAGTTGTTTATTTTCTTACTGTTGAGTTTCAAGGGTTCTTTGTATATTTTGGATTACAGTCCTTCATTAGATATGTGTTTTAAAAATACTTCTCCCAGTCTGTTGCTTGTTTTCTCATTCTTTGGACACACTGCCTTTTGGCTTTCCTGATTTCTGGTCAGAAATCAGCCGTTAGTCTTATTGAGGATTCCTTGTATGTGATATTTCTTCTCTCTTGCTGCTTTAAGGAGTCTGTCATTTTCCCCCTCCTTAATGGAAGCATTGGGGATTGAACCCAGGACCTCATGCATGCCAAGCATGTGCTCTACCACTGAGCCATAACCCCTCCACCCCTAGGGTCTTTGTCTTTTGACAGCTTGACTTAATGTGTTTCAATGTGACTGTCTTTAAGTTTATCCTACCTGAGTGTACTGCTCTTATTGGGTGTGTAGATTATTTGGGGAGTTTTCAGCCATTACTTCTTGACATATTCTTTCTCTTCCCCGCTTCTGGGGTTTTCATTATATGTAAGTTGGTATACTTCATGGTATCTTATGGGTCTCGGACTTTGTTCAGTTGTCTTTATTCTTATTTTTTCTGCTCCTCAGATTAGGTAATTTCAATTGAACTATTTTTAAGTTCTTTCTAATTCCTTCTTCTGCCTGTTCACATCTGCTATTGAGCCTCTCTAGTGAATTTTTCATTTGCGTTATTGTAATTTTCAATCTTCCAGTGTATCTATTTGGTTCCTTTTTACATCTCCTTAATGATATTCTCTATTTGGTGAGACGCCATGCTTTTCCTTAGTTTTTTAGACACGCTTTCTTTTAGCTGTTTGAATGGCTGATTTAAAGTCTTTATCTAGTAAATCTAATGACTGAGCTTCTTCAGGGACAGTTTTATATTGGTTGCTTTTTTCCCTGGGTATGGACCATACTTTCTTGTTTCTTGCATTTCTTAAAGTGTGGGAAAATGGTACTTGGGCAAGTTCAAATGCCATGAAGCTCATTGGTTTTATCAAAATGAGGCTGTTCTTCTTGAAAAAAGTGTTTCTTTTAGAGGGGATAACTTTAGCTATTTCTTACTTTATTCTGTTATTTTCACTGATGTCTCTCCGCTAGTAAGTTTTGAAAATCTGGTTTACATTATACTTGCAATCCTACTCTTCCAATCAGCCACATTTCAAGTGCAGAGTAGACACATAGGGCTAGTAGCTACCATACTGGACAGTGCAAGCGTATAAGACAATTTCTAAATTATTTTCATGGCAAGGTCATCATCCGATGAACCATAGGTTGCAAATAATAGCAGCTACCACTTCTTAAGTGCTTTACTTAATGCTAGATAACATTTTTAAGATTCATGTATTAATACTTTTATTCTTTACAACAACCTAATGCAGTAGGTATTACTGTATTTTAACGACGCGGAAAGCAAAACATCAAGCAACTTACCCAGTATCTCAACAGCTAAAAAGTGGTAGAGCCAGGATTCAAACCTTGAAAGTCTGGTTTAAAGCTCATGCTGTTAACCACCACTCCGTGCTACTTAGAAGACCTTAAAGGAGGAATTCAGAGAAAAATTATTTTGGCCAAGGGAGAATTGGATGGGGAGGAAACAGCACTATACAGAATATTTTAAAAAAATAAAGTCTAAAACACGCTTACAAGAAAACAAACTCACATTTTTAGTGACGGCTACATATTTGCATCAAGCAAATTATCTGATACTTAGTAAGCAGCCAGTGAATCTTTGAATAAATCATCAACTGCTGCAGATTTACATACTGTGCTAGGTCTTTGTAAATGTCTCACTCCAAGTCAAAGAGAAACTGAAGCTCAGAGTGGTGGAATCACTTCCTCACTAGCTAATTAGTGAAGGGATTAGACTAGAACTCAGTTCTCAAACTCCAGGTCCCCTACATTATAGCTTTTTCCAAGTTAAGAAAGGATCAAAGTCATAAAGGATAAAAGTTTACATCGTATCATATGATCAAGTTCCATTTATGTGCATGTAGATTATGTGATTAAGGAAGAGGGGAGAAGGTGGGCCAACTAAGGCAAACTGGATACTGTTTTCTCTTGCTTACTTAGGGGACAGACTTCTAATAGTGAAGCTAAATAGAAAGGGAAGAGTTCCAGCATGGAGAATGTGAGCAGAAGTATATCCAGAGAACAGCAATTTTAGTTGTTCTAGCAACTAAAATCCTTAGTGACCTTGCCATCTCTGTCTCTGACTCACTGCAGAGATCTGGAGCAGTGAGAAAGGCTTTCCCTGAGCAAACATTTATTCAGCATGTACTGTGCGGCAGTGGATAGTCCTGACTTAGAAGAAGACCAATGAAAATTATATGCTACATTATGATTGTATAAACTACAATAAGGAAATATGCCATGCACTTTGAGAGAAAAAAAGGATGGAGCAGCAGCTAATTATCTGGGAGGTTTAGAGAAAACTTTTTAAAGGACTTGACTTTTGAACTGGATCTTTAAACATGAGCAGTTATAGCAGGAAAACAGTAATTGAGATAAGGTATGTTTGGGCTGAGGTGAAGGGTTATAAGGAGGGATGGCAGTAGGAAGGCTGCTTAGGGGGTGGTTAAGAGGAGGATGGTCAAGGAATTTAAACAGACCAGGGAATGTGACTGTGTTTCTGCTCTAGCAAGGGATCCTTCATGGTGAGAGGGGACTGATTGATAGAGGGGAAGAACTAAAGTGGGAGCAATTAGTCCAGACATGATGAAGGTCTAAATTATATCTGAGAGGATGAAGAGGTGAGGAAGAGATTTGAGAGGCAGACCTGACAGAACTTGGTGATCAGTTAGACAAATGGGTGATGAAGGGAAAAGTCAGGAAGAATTATTTCTATTAATGGAGATAGAAGAAGTAGGAAGAATAGACTGGGCTGGGGAGTTCAAGAGAAGGTGAGTTCTGTTTTGATAATGAACTTGTCTGCAGAATATCCCAAGGGGCTGACCTGTAGGTTTTGAGCCTAAAGCTTGGGAGGAAATCAGGGTTAGAAACAGAGATTTGAGAGTAATTAGGTGATAGATGAATTCTTGGCAACCAAGTTGGTCACCTAGTTCACAAAGTGACAAAAGGCTTGGGGGAGTGGAGGCTCCATGACACTGAAGACAAGGACAGAGGAGGTGTTCCTAAGCAGATGAAGAAGAGGCTGTAAAGGAGGTAAGACAATGAGGAAAAAGTCAAGGGAATAAGTCTCAAGAGAATGTGGTCCTCCAAGTCGGATGTTGAGACAAGATGAGGTAGGGTAAGGACTGAAAACTGGCCATTAGATTTGACAATTAGGAATTTTCTGATAATCAGGAGAAGGAATGCTTCAGAGGTGGCAGAAGCAGATTGTAGTGGGTTTAGGAGTCTGGATGGGAAGAGGTCTGGTTGGTGTTTGCAGAGGTGATTCATGAATATTCCAATTGCTGGGGGGGGTTACAGGATGAGGAGAGGGTATTCCATACTAAGAAGAGGGGCTTGGAGGTTGTGGTAGCCCCAAGAAGCCTTGTAGCAACCCAAGATTGGCTAATTTTGTCATGGAATTCATGTAAAAATTACATTTTGAAATAAATAACATGTGACTTTGTATTATGTGCTGTGTTATCTTCTTCATGAGATGCTATTAATCAAATTTAAAAGGTTTTCAATAGCCAAGACATAGAAACAATCCATATGCCCATCAACAGTTGACTGGTTTCAGAAGATGTGGCACATACACACAATGGAACAGTACTCAGTCATAAAAAGAATGAAATATTGCTATTTGTAGCAACATGGACAGACCTAGAGAATATTATACTTAGTGAAGTAAGTCAGAGAAAGACAAATATATGCTATCACTTATATGTGGAATCCGAAAAATAATGCAAATGAATCTGTATACAAAATAGAAACCTACAGACTCACAGACATAGAAAATAAACTTATGGTTACCAAAACAGAAAGGTTGGTGTAGGGGGTTGGAAATTAGAACTATGGGATTAACAGATACAAACTGCTATACACAGATAAACAATATGGATTTACTGTATAGCACAGGGAATGATAATCAAATATCTTGTAAAAAACCTGTAATGGAAAATAATCTGAAAAAAATATATAACTGAATCACTTTGCTGTACATGTGAAACATAATATTAGGTTCACTATACTTAATAAAAAAATTTAATATGTTTCTCTATTTAAGCACTTTATATTTTTTTCAACATTAGGACAAATTTCAACCATACAGAAATATTGACAGGTATTATGTGGCAAATATCCATCTAATTACTATCTAGAATCTACAATTAACATTTTGCTATATTTGCCTTATCATTTATCTACTCATCTACCCATCCCTCTTTCCATTCATCTTATTATTTGATAAACATCACTGTAAGTTACAGACATCAATACAGTTCATATCTATCAATATGCACATCATTAACTAGAGTTCAGCTTTTGCTCAGTTGGTTTCTTTTTAGGTGTGTGAAATTTAAAAAACTCACAACCTAAGTGGGATATTCCCCAAGTTTTGACAAACGTATACAACTGTGTAACCCCTGTTATGACATGGAACATCACTGTCAGCTTAGAAAGTCCCCTCATTTCCCTTCCCAGTTTCCACTTCTCTCCTCTCCCACAAAGCCAGCTTCTGCTGTTTTTTTTCACTGTAGGTGGGCTTTACCTGTTCTAGAACTTCATGCGTGGGGAATCTCACAGTTTGCGCTTATTCATATCTGGCTTCTTTCACTCAGCGAAATGTTTCTAAGATTGATTCATATTGTTTTATCAGTAGTTTCCTTCATTTGCTGAGTATTAGTCCATTGTTTGAATACACCATAGTTTTTATGTCTTCTCCTGCTGTTGGACAGCTACTCAGTTTCCCGTTTTTGACAACAATGAATAAAACTGCTCTAAATGTTCTAATACAATCTTTATGTGGACATACGCTTTCACTTCTCTTCGGTCAATACCAGGAGTGGAATGGTTGGATCAAAGAACAGGTATGTTTAATTTTTAAAGAAACGCCCATGCCTTTTCCCAAAGAGGCTGTTCCATTTTACACTTCCACTGGCAAGGCTGCTTCACATCCTCTCCAATGTTTGATGTCGTCATTTAAATTTTAGATTTTCCAGAGCAGTAGCATCTTACTGAGGTTTTAATGTTCCTTTCTCTCATGAAGTTGAATACTTCATCATGCACTTATTGGCCATTCATATATTTTCTTTTGTAGTATCATCTATGTCTTTTTATTATTGAGTTAGAATTTTTAATGTATTCTTCATTAGTTATATGTGCTGTGAATATTTTATCCTGGCATGTGGCTTGTTCATTCATATTCTTAATGGCATCTTGATGAATAAAAAGTTTAAAATTTTTTAGAGTTCAATTTATCAGTATTTTTTCTTTTATGGTTATTTAATGCTTTCAAAGTCCTCTCCAAGAAACTTGCCTTCCCTTAAGCTGTTTTCCTCTAGAAGCATAATAGTTTTAGTTTTTATGTTATGGCCAAGATCCATCTTTAATTTTTATGTATGGTATGAGGTAAGGGGTCAAATGTTAAATTTCCAAAAAGATACAAGTTGTTATAGCATCTATTGAAAAGATTTTCCTTTCCCTATTGAGTTGCTTTAGTGCCTTTATAAAATATCAAACTGCTTAATATTTAAATTTATTTTACTATTTATAAAGTGTTTTTACTCTCTTTTGCTCTTACTCTGTCACTGGGGGTGGATGTTCTCCTCATTTTACAGTTGAGAAAACTAAAGCTCAAGGCAGTTCAAGAATTTGACCAAGGAGACACAAAGCCAAGGACTTGAACACAGAATACTGAATCAAAAAGAAATTGTTTACATTTTAAACCTATTTTATCCAGTGGAAATATTATTAAATAGACACTTTTTTCCCTAAGAGTGGCAGAATAACAGAAATGAGTAAGTGCAATGTTTTTATATTTCAACACTGGTTGTATTTTTAGACTATCGCCCACACACATGCTTTCTTTGTAGGCTTGTATATGTCCAAAACAATCTATATTATGCATCTCTTTTTGAAAGAGTGAAAAAAGCATAATATCTGCTTTACAAAAGTGGGTAAGAATAATAGCTTTTAGCCAAGGTTGCCTGGATTTTATTTAAGATAAAGAATATATTTCTCTCACTCTGATCTAAAAAGAAAGTTAGACTCAGAGAAATACAGCAGTACTTAAAGGTACATATCATGAAGACAGACATAACAACTAGAAGAAAACTCAATAGCCACTCCTGCTCCTTCTTCTTTCCCTTCTATTCTGCCATATTAATATTTGGGCACCTAGCCTGTCTCCACGTTTGATACCACCTTCTTTTCTACCACGTGGAAGCAGCTTTCAGCAACCCTTGATCACTTGCTGAGACTAGGCTGACCTCAATATTCTAACTCTCCAGATCACCAGAGCTCACCCCTGACTATCAGTCTCTAGTGCCCACCTCATTTATCCAACTGTGACACACAAATGAATGACCTCAGTCTTTCTGGCTCACTCCTCTGGTAAGAGTCATCTTTCCCCACATACAGGGAGATGATCTTGTTAAAACCTCTGGTACACAGCATTCTTTAGGGATGTCACAACTGAAGCACCTACATTTGTGAATTACATAGAACAAGAGGGTCACTCAGTTATCTGAAGCCAGCTTCGGGGCAGAACCCACATCTTCTTGACAACTTCATTGTTCTTTCCCTATGCTATAAGTTTTCCCTCAATTATCTATTAAACCAAGATGCTATAAAATGGAACTAGGTTAACTACTCCTCATTCCAAGATGGAAAAACTCAGGCCATAGAGGGGAATGCCTAACAATCAGTTAGAGGCAGTTTTGCAGAGACGTGGTCAGCTATGCTAGCCAATATTTTTCCTTTGTCCTGTACCAAAACAGAGAACTAAACACATGCCGTAAACCCAAGAACAAAATACATGTATTCCAATGATTATTTTTTTTTAATACAAGACAGTTGCACAATCTTTGTGCATGTTAATTAGTACCAGAGAGCATTCCTTGAAACTGCCTATAAACAGGGACTGTCATAAAAGCCTACCTGGTGAGTGGTACTTGATCAATAGTTCTTTTTTTATGAGATTTTCTTAACAACAAAAAAAGAGAGAAGTCCCGTCTACTGATCTGAGAGAAAGACATTCTGTAATAGTTTTAATATGATAGAGATACTCTAGCTCCTAAACTAATTCTAATTGTTGTTGAGACACAAAGTTGGAGGACTCACACTTTCTGATTTCAAAACTTACTCAGAGCTCCAGTAACCAGGAGAGTCTGGACTGGCATTAGGATAGACACACAGACATACAGGCCAATGGAACAGAACTGAGAATCCAGAAGTAAAACTTCACACTTATGAGCAATAGATTTTTGACAAGGATGCCAAGATAATTCAATAGTAGAGAACACAGTCTTTTCAATCATGTACTGGGACAACTGGATATCCACAAACAAGATCATTAATTTAGACCTCTTATCTCAAATAAATGCAAAAATAAACTCAAAATGGATCAAAGAGCAAAAACTATAAAACTTTTAGAAGAGAACATAGTTGTAATTTTTTATGACGTTGAATTAGGCAATGGTTTCTTAGATATGAAACCAAAAGAAAAATTGAAAAAAAATTAATTGGATTTCATACATATTTTAAAAATTTGCATTTCAAAGGACACTAACAAGTGAAAACACAAACCACAGGGGAGAAAATATTTGTAAATCATGTCTGATAAGACTTATACCCACAAAATATAAAGAACGCTTACAACTCAACAATAAAAATAACAAATTACTTAATTAAAAAATGGGCAATGGATCTGAAGAGACATTTCTCCAAAGGAAAAATACAAATAAATGGCCAATAAGCACAGTATCATTAGTGAACAGGAAAATGCAAATTAAAACCACAATGATATCACTTCGTACCCACCAATATGGCTATAATCAAACAGAGTAGCAAGAATTGGCAAAGCTGTGAAAAAATTGGAATCCTCAAACCTTGTCGGTGAGAATGCAAGATGGTGCAGTCCCTTTGGAAAAAAGTGAAGTGTTACCATGTGACCCAGCAATTTCACTCCTAGGTATATACCCAAAAGAACTGAAAATGTACATCCACATAAAAAACTTGTACGTGAATGTTAATTAGCAGCATAATTCTTAATAGCCCAAAATTGTTGACAACTGAAATATTCATCAACTGATGAGTAGATAAACAAAATATGGTCTATCCATACAGTGAAACATTACTCAACAATAAAAAGAAATATTGAAAATGTTATAAGATAGGTGAACCTTGAAAACATGCTGAGTGAAAGAAGCCAGACACAAAAGTACACGTATGACTCCATTTTTATGAATGTCAAGAATAGGCAAATCAACAGAGACAGAAAATAGGTTAATGGTTGCCAGAGGAAGGGGAGTGTGGTGAATTCGGAGGTACAGGGTTTCTTTTTGGGGCGATGAAAGTGTTCTTGATTTAGATAATGGTGATACTGCACAGCTTTGTTAATACACTAAAACCCACTGAACTGTATACTTTAAGATGGAAGATCTCATGGTAAAGGAATTATATCTCAATAATAATAAAGACAAGCAAGCATAGGAGACCTGGAAGATTACTCAAACATCAAACGAAACAAAAGCCTGAACCCCTTTCTATGGTTTGAATCCAGTTTTATAACTATGATCTCTCTCTTCTTCAACAACAATAATCATAGTGATAAAAATAGCAGGTTCTTACTAGGCACTTACTGGGCTTGTAACACGCATTTTATACTCGATATTCTCTCAAATCATCTCAATGACCTCGTACATAGGGGTTATGATCCCATTTTATAGAAAGGAAACTGAAGCTCAGAGGCTGAGTAATTTGCCCAAGGTCATTTAAGGGTAATTAAGCCTGACTCCAGAGGTTCCATTATACCATTCTGACTTCCTTAAAACAGTGGCTTATTGGTCTTCAATACTAAGTTATTTTTCAATGTGCTATGTTGTTCTTTCAATCTCCATCAAAAAATTAGGTACTGTTTTGGGGCCCAGGATTAAATAATGGTATTTCTTCCCTAGTTTGTTGAGCACAGGGCAAAGAAAGTAAAAAAGTCCTATATGATATGTTTTTATTTGTATCAAATTACAGAGTACCATAAGTAAATATAAGATTATGATTTGAATATTATAATATAGCTTATAATTTGGCAAATTATTTAATTATCCAAAGTTTATTACATGTTTGAGTACACACTGAAGAAATGATTTGGCATAACTTGGCAAGATAAATATTTCTGTACCTTATTTGACCATTTATCATGTATACATGTGGTACATATATGAGATATCTGTGTATGTATACACACACACACTCCTGAATTAAATATACTTGTATAAAAGCTAAAGATTTATGTATTACCATTAATTCCTTTAAAAAATCTATTATATTAAATTGCATCTGCATTCAAAGCAGAAATGTATGTAAAAAAACTGATCACTTTGCTAAATACACATGAATTTACAAAATAATTGAAAATGAAATAAAAATTTCTATTGAAATGTTATATCCTTGTTTAACTGACATTTAAGTGGCACTATCAAACTATGGAAATAAACCTCATTTTTTAGGTTGTTGAGAGAATAAAGATTCCACTGAGCATTACTGTACCCTCTAAATTAAGAATGAACATTATGATAGTAGGAAAGGTGGCGGATAATTTTCTTCTTTATTGATATGGGAATTCTCAGGAAGCAATCAGGGCAGTCTGTACTCCTGGGCTGGGGTTGCCTGCTTTCCCATCAGTGGAAGTCTGGCTTCTCTGGAAAGGTGCAGCCAGTCCGCCTAATTATGACACTTGCTGCATAGTGGCCAGCACGGATGCATTCAGTCAGGGGCCTGTCTGAGACCAGTTGAGACAGAAAACCTGCAACATAGACAAGAGGGAAAAACATGAGTATTGTAGTAACAGCATCAGAAATGTCATATGGGTCAGAACAAAAAGTGGCCTACATACCTATCCCTTTCTTCAGTCTTGATAGTTGTGTTAAACCTCAAGGGCTAGAGAATTCTTCCTTAATATTTATTTTAAAGAGCTCAAGTTGGGATGTGAAAACTCACCATCAAGTCAATTGAGTCTTTCTAAGCCTAAACGATCATACTTGCCTTTTACTTTGATATTAAAAGGTTGTAAGTAAGAAATACTGGCCAAATAATATTATCTTGGGTCTTTACAGCTGAGAAATTATTAGTTATGCCTCTTCCTATCTCTCTCAATTCCTTCTGTACTGTTGTTATTCCTAGCAAATGCTGGAAAAAACTCTATCATCTGGATGTCTCTCCAAGAATAAATCTGAGAGTTGAAAAGTTATGAAGGACCTTATATTTCCCTTGCACTCCCAGAAGTAACAGTAAAATAATTTCTGTAGTCAAGTACCATGGACCAGCTTGACATTAAAAATAAATATGATAAGGCAGAAAACAGTGCTGAGGCCTCTGCTTCTGACCAGGATGAAATAAAAGGTACCAGATTTGCCCTTTCTCCAGAAACAACTTCAAAATAAAAACAAGGTATATGAAACAAAGTTTTTCAGATATTGTACATCAGCCACAAAAGATCCATGAAAGAAGGGAATCAAATGAGGTAAGCTGTAAAGGTTACCAGGCCACAACACATGGAGAGGCTACCTAGCAGAGCCCCATAGTTTCCAGAGTTGAGAAGATGGAATTGGGAGTCCAAGTAGGACAAAATCAAACATCTAGGCAGACTGATCAGGAAAAAAATGAGAGGAGACACAAACTGCCAATACTGACAATAAGAGAAATAACATCACTATAGCATCTACGCATACTAAATTTAAGGATAATAAGGAAACATTATTAACAACTTTATGTCAACAGATTTGACAAGTGAGATGAATTGAACAAATTTCAGAAAAGACACAAACTATCAAAGCTCACTCAGGGAGAAATAGATAACCTGAATAGCCTTATATCTATTAAATATTTGATTTTATAATTAAAAAGCTTCCCATAAGAAAATTCCAGGTCCAGATGGTGTCACTGGTGAATTCTACCAAACAACTAAGGAAGAAAAATAGTATCAGTGCTATCCAAAGGCCCCAGAAAACTGAAAAGGAGAGAATATCTTCCAACACATTCTTTGAGGCCGGCATTACTCTCACAGCAAAATCAGAAAAGATGCAAATATTCTGAAGAAAATTTCAGCAAATCAAATCTGACAGTATATTAAAAAAGCTAATAAATCCTGATCAGGTAGCATTTATCCTAGAACTACAAGGTTGGTTTAACATTCAAAAATCAATCAATGTAATCTACCATATGAAGTAAGAAAACCGTAAGATCATCTTCATAGATGCAGAAAAAGCATTTGACAAAATCCAACATCAATTTCTAAACAAAAAACTTTCAGCAAAGTAGGAATAGAAGGGAACTTCCTCAATCTCATAAAAGGCACTTATGAAAAACTTGCAGTTAATGTCTTTCTTAATAGTGGATGATGGAATGTTTCCTCCTTAGAATTGAGAACAAGGAAAGAGTATCTCCTAGAGATACTTAGCCAGTGCAATAAGGCAAACAAAAGATAGAAACAAAAGGTATCAAGATTGAAAATGAAGTAAAACTGTCTTTATTTGCAGATGGCACGACTGTCTGTATCTATGGTTTTCAACAGTGGCAAATTTGTCCCTCAGAAGACATTTGGCAATGTCTGGAGACATTTTTGTTGTCACATCTGGGGCAGAGGGTGCTTCTGGCAACTAGTGGCTAGAGTCCAGGGATGCTGCTAAATATCCTACGAGGTCAATAATACTGAGATTAAGAAGTCCTGGTCTATGTAGAAAAATCCTATGGAATCTAGAAAAAAGTTACTAGAACTTCTGAGTGAGTTTAATAAAGTTGCAGGATACAAGATCATTATACAAAAATCAACTGAATTTCAGTACTAGTAATGTGTGTATACACAGCAATTGTGTGTACCAGCAATGAACATTTAGAAATTAATATTATTATTTACTATACTATCAAATACGTGAAATACCTAGGGACCGATCTGACAAAAGTTGTATAAGACCTTCACGCTGAAAATGACAAAACAATGCTGAGAGAAATAAAACAAACCTGAATAAATGAAGCGTTCAGAGGTCAGAAGATTCAATATTGTCATCAGCTCTATTGATTCAATGTAATACAATCAAAATTCTAGCAGGCTTTTCTAATAGAAACTGACAAGGCGATTCTAAAATTTATGTGGAAATGCAAGTGACTTAGACTAATTAAAACATAACTTTGAAAAGAAGATTACTTGATTTAAAAACTTATTATAGAACTAAAATAATCGGGACACTATGGGATTGGCATGAAGATAGACAAATAAATCAGTGCAACTACATAGAGCCCAGAAATAGACCTACTTCTATATGGTCAATTGATTTTTGACAAAGGTATCAAAGCAATTCAATGGAGAAAAGCTAGTTCTTAGAAGAGGTGGATGGCCATATGTGGGAAAAAAACCAACAAAAACCAAACCACTTCTACCTTACCTCATATCAAATACAAAAATTAACTTGAAATGGATCACAGGTTTAAATGTAAGAGGTAAAACTATGAAAATTCGAGAAGAAAATTTGAAAGAAAATTTTAGTGATTTTGAATTTGTCAAAGATCTCTTAAGATATAAATTTTTATGAAAGAAAAAATAATTTTGACTTTGCCAAAGTAAACATTTTTATACCTCAACAGCAAGAAACAACCCAATAAAAACGGATGAAAGTGTCAAACACTTCAGCAAAGAAGACAAACAGATGTCAAATAAGCACATGAAAAGATGTTTGACATTATTTATTAGAGAAATGCAAATTAAAACCACCATTAGATACCACTGTCCACCCACTAGAATGGTTAAAATTAAGAAGACTGACATACCGAGTGTTGGCAAGGATATAGATCAATTGAAACCTGAGTATACTGACTAGGAGACCATAAAACCATTTTTCAGCATCTTAAAAAGTTAAACAAACATCTACCATATGACTCAGTCTTTCTACTTCTAGGTATTTAACCCAAAGTAAATGAAAGCATTTTTCTACACCAAGATTTGAAAATGAATGTTCACAGCAGCTTTATTTGTAATAGCCTGAAACTGGAAACAATCCAAATGGGGATGAGAAGGGGCAGGAAGACAGGATTACAAAGGAGCATGGAAGTAGTGAATAGGTCCATAGTGATGGTTTCAGGGGTGTGTACATATGTCAACATTTGTAAAACTGTATACTTTAAACATGTGCCATTTACTATATGTCAATTATACAGCAATAAAACTATATAAAAATTGTTGTAGTTACAAATAAGGTAGTCAAGAACATTAGAATCTGGGGCTACTTCCCCCCTAAGGAAAACCTGAGCTGCCGTAGCAGTACTCAAATACTCAGAAGAACAGATGATAATGAGAAATTGTTCTGTGGCCAGACTTTTAGGCCTTCCCATCGTCCCTGGGCAGGCTGGCGGGGACGGTGGAGGGTGAAGGTTAATTGAGAAACTGTGGTACAGTGACCTGTAGAGAGCATTATAAGAGATTTATGTTCTTTCTCTTCCACCATTCTGACCACACAGGCTTTTCCTTGTCAGATTTGGGGAATGCCCTGTATCTAATAAAACAAATAAGTACGCCCAACCAAAGAATAATTAATTTGGTTAATGGAATGATGTATTTTGAAGACATTTGCTTAGAATATGAAATCACTCTCTCAAGAGGTTTAGTAAGAGTATTTTATCATTGAGTTTTCAGGTAACAGTCAAAGGTCAATATTAACTTTCAGCCAAACTGTGAGACTAAACTGCTCAGCCCACACAGTGAATAGAGCAGATGCCAAATTCAGAGTCAGATCAGCTTACAATGGAAACAAGTCCATTAGAAGCCTTACAAGGAACATCTGTTTTCCTCATTCCTCCTGGTATGCTCTTTGTGAGAAAAAGAAAAGCTTATGTTTATGAAATATTTTTGTGAAGCATAAGTACCAGCATCCTCTTTCTAAGAGAAGAGTGAGCTGATGACTGAAGTGAAGCACTCTGAACAGACATTTGCTTTGACAAGTGGAAAACCTGGATGCAGAGGAAAGTTAAGACCTGTGTCCTGGGTGAATATCAGTTTTTTAATAATCTATTTTTAGAAACCAACTGAGATGAACTACAAATGTTACATAATCAGTTATAAGTGGACTCTTCATAAAGTAGCTGATGTGAATCTTCAGAAGTTGTACAAAACAGTTTAAGTAAACAAAGGGAGCTTATATTTAAAGAATCATAGGGAATCATTTTATAATATGAATTAAACATCAAGATACATTTTCTATTGTAAAATATATACTACCTAAAATTTACCATTTTAACCATTTTTAAGTGTACAATTTATGGCATTAGGTACATTTTGCAATGTTGGGTACATTTTGCAATGTTGGGTAACCATCACCTCAATCAATTTCCAGAATTTTTTCATCACTCCAACAGAAACTAAAAACTATACTTATTACACTGAACTCTCCGTTCCCCCCTACTCGTGGCCCGTTAACTGCTATTCTACATTCTGTCTCTGTGAATTTGCCTGTTGTAGATACTTCACATGAATAGGATCATACAATATCTGTCCTTTTGTGTCTGGCTTATTTCACTTAGCATAGTATCTTTCAATATAAGTTTTTAAATTTAATTTTTAATTATTAGTTGGCCTAAAATGTGTTTTTAAAAAAACTGTATTTGGAAATAATTTTAAATTCAGAGAAAATGTGCAAGAATAAAAACACCGTAAAAAGCACCCATATATCCTCTACCCAGATGCATTTATTGTTAACATTTTGCTCCTTTTGTGCACATGCTGTTTTTATATAATTTTCCCCCCAAACAATTAGAAAG